TTTTACTCTTTGTTTTACGTTTATGAATCTATAAAGTAAAACCTTTGAAGCTCAAAATTGTTCTTAAACTTTCTTATTTTATTCTTGAGACTTCATAACTTTCTTCATTAAATCACTATAATTTGGTTATTCATAACTAGATTACTAGTGTTATTGAGAGATCTGGGATAACAATGTCGTCTTCCGAGTCCAAAAATTCCCAAACCCACACCACAACTCTCAAAATCGTAGAGGAAACCAGTCAAAACTTGGTTCCTCTTCCAATCAAACCTAATAACCATGCCCTCTTCCTTTCTCTCAAAACTTTCGACCAAAAATACCACCCAATCATCAACATCCTTCAAAACCACTTTCTAAACCCTACTTTGACAAACACCAATGACCTTGTCCCTGAAAGGTACATCCAGGAATTCTGGCAATCTTGCGCCATCACTGACTCTCAAAGGGGAATCATTGGAGACTTTTATGTCTCATCTACAAAAGAATTCTTCAGTATTCAAATATCCAGGTCCTTGTTTTCCCACGTTCTTGAAATCCCAACGAAAACAGACCTAGGGCTTGCTGAGTCGCCAATATCTACCTCCAATGTGGAACACTCTGTTCACATTGGTAAATAGATCTCTGACAGGAATAATTGGGAGCTTAGACATGTGCTCCACGAACATACTTTAAATTCTGTATAGGATTGTCTTTGATCTATCTCTGGATTATTCCTTGATACTCTACACAGAGTTCAAGGCTGTCGTGGCTAAGAAATGTCAAGAAGTGGCCAAAGGGAAAGAATTACCATCTATGTTGTTTCCACGCTTCTTCGGTCTTCTCCTAAGGCCTGTTCTGGATGACAACAACATAGATGTGGGTCGTCTGCCCGTGCACAAAGTAAACGTGATGACTCATTACAGGCCAACAGTCAACAAAGAGGGCTACACAGCAGAAAGGCCCATTCCAAAGAAGCTCTATGCGTACATGAAGACAAAGAAGATTAGGAGAGCGTACAGACGTACACGCGAGGCACTAGAACCAGTGCCTCGAACCTCGGTATGCATAGGAACGGCCGAAGAAGAAGATAAAACAGAGGACACCTTAAGGCCTCAAGCAAAGGAAGAGGCAGTGAGAGTGGAAAACGAGAGGGAGAAACAAAGAAAGAAAGAAAGAGGAAGCAAAGAAAAAGGGAGTGGTGAGGGAGAGGAAGAAAAAGGAATAAGCAGATAGAGCAGAGCAAGAGAGACTGGATGAACTTGCTCGTATACAAGAAGAGGAAGAGCGAGCAGAAAAAGCTCGACAGGAAGAGATAGCTTGCCTAAGGGAAGAGGCTAGACGCAAAGCAGAGGAAGAAGCTCATCAATCCTCTAGCTCTAACCAACAGGATGACCAAGAGCATTTCAATGATGCTTCTAGGTCTTACAGTTCTAGTGAGGAGAGTGAGGAAGAAGAAGAAGAGGAGAGTGAAGAAGAAAGAGAGGGAGGAGGTGCAGCAGCTGCTCTGCCTCAGGATGAGCCAGAGCAGCCTAGGGTAAATAAGCACATTCTTTTCGACACCCCCACTCCCAGTGAAAACGAATCATCTAACTCCGGTGGTCGAGACACGGAAGTCATTGAAATAGAGGTGCACACCTCGAACCCAAACCAGCCAATCCAACCAGAGGTCACATCTGCCTCTGGTTATAATAGCCAAAGGGAAGCCACACCATAGGGAACACACTCTCAAAAGGGTGCAACCTTTAAACATATAAGTGATATGTCTCCCCATATCACGCCACTTTCCCATACAGAGGAATTTGTTTCCTCTGCACGTGTAGACTCCCAACCTTGTTCAGAGCAAGGAATAGGTGCACAAGACTTGGAAACTCTCGACCAGTCTCCTAGTCCACTCATGGAGAGTCCTCTTGCTGGCTCTGAACCCGCCTTGGATACTCTCCCTAACAGAACAGCGGTAGTGAATTCTCCTCAAGGATCTGCTGGAAGTCCTTCCCCGACCAACATCAACCACGTCGTGAATGAAGGCGTCCCTAGAACGGGGACTCAATCTGGCCCATGTGTTGAGCCAGAGGTTACACAACCAACATATGTCACAAGGGAAGAGTTCCATTCTCTTGTCACCTCTTCGCGGTGCTTTCTTAGCTCTAATATTTACTTCATGTAAAAGTATGAAAAAGTATTCTGCAAGTGTTGACAGAAGGGTATCTTCCACATAAGACATCAGAGGACTAGCAACATAAGCTGTTTCATCGTGCAAGTAAAGTTCAACAGAACCTCTGATGTCTCTCACAGAGGTTCTGAAAAATGGTCCTCTGACAATAAGATCATACAAGTCTACTACAGCAGAGCCTCTGAGATGGCTCAGAGAGGGTCTGCGGATTAGTCTTCGTTGAAGATCCTGTTCTACTGTTTTTCAAAGGTTGTTAGCTGCATGTGCTTCTCACGTGACTAGATTTTAATAGACTTTATTTGGACGGCTTAGATGATTTCACTTTCTAGATCATGTCAGGAAAGTCGTTAGGGTCTTGTATAAATAGCAGCTTAGGCCTTTGTATTCAGTGAGCTTCTGAATTGTAATCATCTTAATTTTCAATTGAATTGAAAAACCTTTGAAGCTATTCTCTTGTGTTCATCTTCTTCACTGTGTGTTCTTGGTTTATTTTACTCTGTTTTGTTCTTATTATTGTTTCCGCTGCACTTTAATCGTCCTAAAGTTCATTCAGAGTAATAGATCAATATCAAAGCTGAATTTACAGGTTCAACAATTGGTATCAAAGCAGGAATTGAATTCTTATTCGATTAATTCTGTTTTTGGTATTAATCTATTTTTTTCTAGAACA